CAATCTTAAAAAATCATTTCCATGTCAAAAAAGTCACAGTTTGTCGTAAAACTGTTGAAATATAAGACTATGAAAAATACGCAACTAGAAAGACTACAAATCCCAGAGTCGCGTAAGTGATGTCACAATTGAGACACTACGATATACGTATAATACCGTATATATACGATCAGCGCCATATAGATAGAATCTATCTATATAGATAGAATCTAGATAGATATAATCTATCTATATGGCGCTGGCTAAGATAAGATAACTTTAACAAGATGCCTGTGTGCTTAGTACCAGGTTGTTATCATACCAGCAATGGGTCTTGCTCGTTCTTTCGCTTCCCGTCTGATGAAAGAGGAGTACTCTGGATCAAGCTAGCTAGTAGCTAGCACGTTAGTTAGCATTACAGCCTTGTCATTTTTTTTAGCCTTAACATGAAGTAACATTAAGTAACCCAAAATGTTAAACAGTAAGAGTAGTAGTCATATTTCGTGAACCCTTTGAATAGTACTGTCACCGGTGTGATCATTCTATAATACACCATTTAAGCCCGGGGGAGAAATGCTAACACTAACGTTAGCGATCTTCTCTACTTCATGCTATCTGCACAAATGGTTGACATTAAACATTAAAAAGACCAGGCAGTTCAGAGAGAATCAAAGGAAGGCAGGCAGGCAGCTTTGCATGACTTTCTTCTGGACGTGTTTCATTGTGGTGATAGTGAGGGTAGTCAATCGTTGTGTTGACAAGACAGTAGCGACGGCCATCTTGGTGACGTGTGTTGTTGCCCAGAGATGTAGTTCATTGAGCGTTTCACACAAACAAATGTGTTACTTCACAGTTTTACGACAAAATTTTTTTTTTCTTTACTTGCAAAATTATCTTTTAAATTGACAAACATCATATGTGTAATTCGTGGCACAATTCAAACGGGATCGAAAGATAATCTTTCTCTCTCCATTGACTTCAATGCATAACTTTTCCGAAATAAGGTCCCATGGGGCTCAACCGGAAGGGGAGGGACTTCGCCACTCTATTTCCAAATCTCTCTCGCTCTTTCTGACCGTTAGAGCCAATAGAATCGAAGGGGGAGTCCCCCACACACACTCATTGTAAAACAAAAAGGCTTTGCGCATGTAATTTTGCATTAGAGTGAAACTATCTCTCGCTCTGACATCTAGAAACGGAAAAGCAGTCTCAATGCTCATGGATTATCAGAAATCATTTCAAAGGGACACAGACACATTGGATTAACCTATGGATTAACTTCAGCAGCGTTTTTATCGTTTTAATGCCATTGAAGACCACTTTGGAGAGACTACAGAGCCAAGGTAAGCATGTTAGCATTTTTAGCTACCTAGCGCCACCTGTTTTGATGTCCGTTTTTGTTTATAACGTCACGATTTCATATAATTCAGTGATAATGAGGGTACCCTTCGATTCTGTGTCACCTCACGATGTGAATCGATGTCATGGATGTGGGGAAAAGATAAATAATAATAATAGTTTTGTGAGTGACTTTCGGTGCAGTAATCTGTTAGCATTTTTCGCTCATTGCTAATTCAGAGGCTCAGTGTTAGCATTGTGGGTTTTCTTTTGAAAATAAAATAAAAATGATCAGTTAGATGAGTTTCTTCCCGTTACATGGATATAAAACATTCATAGTTTATTAAATGAACATGCCCTCAGACACTGTTTCCTGCAAGATGTTGCGGCAGTGCCCCGGTTTGATTGATTGATTGAAAAGTTTATTAACAGCTTGTATATTGGGTACAGTACAGTACAGCTCAAAACATACAATTGTTAAGGGGATGCAGACCAGAGAAAGACTTTCGTCTTGTTTACATCAGGGTCCCCCATTTCCAATTCATCACCGGTACCGGGGTCTCTCGGGCTTAACAGGTTAAATAACATCTATTTAGACAAAGTATTTTGATTTTTCTAGTTTTAACTTTTTGCATACCTCAAAGTGTGTCTAAAAGTATCTTGGCAAGAGAAAAAAGCCAAAATCTGCCTAGTGTCAGTAAAAAAGTGTTAAAATCACAAAACTTGTCTTTTAGAGTGACAGTCCTTAAGAAAATAAAATGTGTTACACAGTGATTGACATTTTACCAGTTGTAAAGTTTTCAGACAACAAACTGTATCCAAAAGTAAGTAGCAGAAAAAAGCAAAAATCAGTAAAGTCATCAAAAACGACATTGTTTAAGTGGATTGTCTTACTTAAATCAAAAACTGCCATTAAGAGTCACATTCTTAAATAACATCTATTTAGAAAAAGTATTTCATTTTTTCTAGTTTTAACTTTTTGCATACATAAACGTGTATCTTACAGTTCCTTTGTGAGACAATTACGCACAAATCTGTCATATCAAAACATTCTATTGCAGTATTTTATCTGTTGTATGTGCTCTATATATATATATATATAGTTGAACTGTTGGAGGAGCCTGTGACCTATATTTTTCATTGACATATCTGCACTGTAGCTAATGGGGATATGACCTAAAGCCTTGAAAGTTGAAACTTAAAATCAAAACTGCATTGTCTCACGGAAACAGCCCTAAAGAAACCCAATTCCATACAAAGTACTTTATATTCTACCAAGAAACTAAATTCCTTACAAAGTACCAGTTGTAAAGTGTTGCTCACTTCAAAGTGTATCTAAAAAGTATCTTAGTAACAAAAACAAAAGCAAAAAGCATTAATGTTAACAAAAGCCTCAAAGGGCGGACTCCTGAGTTCCGTAATGTCCCCCCTAACATGGCACTTAGACTATTTACATCATCCAGGGAAACACACCAGTAAATACACTTCTCTTTGTCCGCTCTTCAAGCCTCAAAGGGCGGACTCCTGAGCTCCGTAATGTCCCCCTAACATGGCACTTAGATTATTTTCATCATCCAGGGATCAACACCAGTAAATACACCTCTTTGTCCGCTCTTCAAGCCTCAAAGGGCGGACTCCTGAGTTCCGTAATGTCCCCCTAACATGGCACTTAGACTATTTACATCATCTAGGGAAGCACACCAGTAAATCTTCCTTATAGTTAATAAAGTAATTAAACAATAAAAAAAGACAAGATCAAGGGGTCATTAAGATCTTTAAATTATTATTACCCTCTTCAAAGAGACTTCCTTGTAGTTAATAAAGTAATTAAACATTAGTTCACAAGCCATACAACTTAAGAGAACATCCCGTTAACAAGCCAAACTATTTCAAAAGAACAACAACTTCATAGGGGCTTCTTTAAAGTTGTGTGAAGTAATTAAACATTAAAAATACAAGATCAGGGGGGTCATTAAGATATTTTAAATTATTATTACCCTCTTCAAAAGAGACTTCCTTATAGTCAATAAAGTAATTAAACATTAGTTCACAGGCCATACAACTTAAAAAGAACATCCTTAGTTAACACAAATCATATTAAAAACTAATCTAATTTAGAGAGGACAATAAAGTTTTAGGTGACTTAGTGAGTCAAAATTAATGGCTGATAGCAAAATCAGGGGTTGACAGGAAGGGGGAGAGGAAGGGGGGAGAGGAAGGGGTGTGAGGGGGACGGGGGGAGACAGTCTCACACATCCAGACTCCATTTTTCATGAAGAGCCTCAGACGGAGGGGTCTGAACCCGGCACAGATACTGCATCCGTTTCTTGACTGGCACTCCCGACGGATGGCGGTAAGTTGTCACAGGCGTCTCGCTGATTAAACCCATATCGATGCGTCTCTTAGCCATTTTGTTTTTGAAAGTTTTAGGTGACTTAGTGACTGGAAATGACTGGCTTTTTATCTAGTTTGAACGGATTTCTTTTTTACCTAACTCCACCCCCCCTCTATCTTCTGGCATCACAGCAAAAGGAAGGGGGGTGACAGGAAGGGGTGACAGGAAGGGGGAGAGGAAGGGGGGAGAGGGGACGGGGTGCGAGACAGTCTCACACAACTTCAAAGAGACTGCCTTAATTAACACTAGTTACAAACACTGATCAAAGGACGGACTTCAGAGGCTAATTCGATTATAGATCAAGGCTAATTAGATTGACATCAAAGGCCTATAACATGCCGGTGTGATATCGCACCGGCATGTTATAACACCTCACATCAAAGGACAGACATCAAGGGTAATTAGATTAGACAACAAAGGACAGACATCAAAGGGTAATTAGATTAGACAACAAAGGGTCTACTACAGGGGGGCATATCACACCTACACGCGATACCACCTCAACCCTCACATCAAAGGATATCACACCTAACTGTGATATCACACCTACATGTGATAACACCTCGAACAAAGGGGTCATTAGCATATCAAATGGGGTCATTAGCATCATTAGGGGGGGTGGTGACCTGTCACTTTTTATGCATACTAATGTGATGGAAACAGCATCCTTATAAGCCACAGAAACTGGCTGGAGCGCAGGCTCTAAGCGCATACCTGTTACCATCTCACTGTAGCTCACAAATGTAATGTGTGTAGATCCCTTTATTACACGTGTCCTCGCCATCCATAGTCTCTAAAGAACTTATTTCACGTATATATGATATTTAGGCTCGATGGTCTCATCATACAACGGAAATAAAAAAAGCACCAGGGGAGGCAGCCATAACCTCTGCCGCACTGAAGGGGGCGCACGTGAGCCCATAGGTTCTTGTTGCTACTGTTATTTTACGCAGAGACGATAGACGCAAACAACAAGCTAGACTTTTGAAAGTAGAGGAAGATAATTGGAGGACTTTTACAAAAAAGTAGTAGAGATTGTTGTCCAGAAGGATAGCATGGACTTCATCTTCAAGTCAAGGTAAGACCACAACTGTAATGAAAATGGGATCTTACTAAGAGAGAACAATCCAATATTTAAATGTTGGGTATCCTTTTGTTGAACGGTCTGTTTAAAATTAAACGAAACATCAGACTAAAAAAGCTTTTGAAAATAACAGAATATTTCGATTAAGGTCAAAATATAATATTTGTAAATCTGGCTCTGAAAGAGTCAGTGCCTCACCAGCCATGAACCTCACCACACGTCACTGGCAGTAGGTCAGTAAATACCCCACTTGTGGTTCAACAACGTATCAAACAACATTGGTTTACTTTCTTATCATTTCCCTTACCTTGTTATATTGTAAGATAACATGAGAGCTTTTGTCCAATACTATATAGTGCAGTTTAACACAGTGACAGTAGGCTACTTAACACAATGTAAAAAAGCACAATACATAATATGACCATCATTAATGATAAATACAAACTCCTGAGCTTTATTTATTTAAAAAAAAAGAAGAATTGGATATCTTTTAATTACACTGTTGAGGAACCTTTGACCTAAGTGTTTCATTCATTGCATATCTTCACCGTAGTAGTGTATATGACAATACATCTTTGAATCTTGAATCAAAAATTAACATATAGGTTACTTTAATACATTATCCATATTTTATACACTTCAGGTGATTTTTGAAGAAGTGAAGCTGCAGCTTTGAGGTCACATCACTCTTTGGAGGGTATCTGAACGCTTTGTAGAGCTTGGTGTCATTGTGTTTGAGTCTGGCCTGATGGGAAACAGACACATGGCCACATGTTGCCACCATCAAGGAGCCCAGGCCATCCATAAAGAACTCTAGAGGCAGAGACAGACATTTACCATTTAGGAAAAAAAAGCCAACTACGATCATGGACAGCAACAACTGAAAGAGTGTGGACTTACTGCCACTTGGACTGCAAACCATCTAGACCTACCTGAGTGTGCTACCCTCTTGAGCTGAGGGTCGAATCCCACCCTCTGTACGGCATCTGTACGAGCCAGGAAGAAGTTGACCACCCCACTGACCAATGAGCATTCTGGGTAACCAGGAAGAGAGCGGTACCTCCCTCTGGACTTCCTGTACATGCAGCCACCTTCCATTTCGTCTCCTTCCTCATAGATGAGAGAGAAATAAAACTGGTCTCCTTGTACTTTACCGCCAAGCTGAAAGGAACAGAGAGACAAGAGAACTGCTTATAATCTGACTACCTGCTCATCGTGTATCTGCTGGAATAGGCTCTTGTTAACACATTATCAATCAATCAATCACATTTTGCAAACGGTGAGAGACATGCCCCTCCATTTGCGTAATGGTGATTTCAAAAACAAAAATAACGAACCAAATAATACTTCTGTTAACCTGTTACGCACGGCCCGCCCGGTACCGGGCGGAAAAACGCGTTATTTGCAGGAAACAACGTCTAAGGAATGTTAATATTTAATAAACTATGAATGTTTTATATCCATGTAACGGGAAGAAACTCAGCTAAATGATCTTTTTAATTTTTTTTTCCAAAAAAAACCCACAATGCTAACACTCAGCCTCTGAATTAGCCACGAGCGAAAATATTTAACCTGAAACGGCACTCCTAACTCCCTTATTACTTATCCTAGATGCACAGCCAACCACTCATTTTTGGTGTCCTGGAGACACAGAATCTAACGGTGCCCTCCATAACACTCAGTGATAAACATTCGCGACGCTATAAACGAAAGCGTACATCATAACATGTGGAGCTAAGTAGCTAGAAACGCTAACATGGCTTACCTTGGTCAAAACTGGTCTTCAATGGCATTAAAACGATAAAACGATGCTGCAGTTAATCCATAGGTTCATCCTATGTATCTGTGCCTTCTTTGAAATTATTTCTGATAATCCATAAGCAATAAAACTGCGTTTTAGTTTCCAAATGCCAGAGCTAGAATGTAGCTCCACTCAAACCTAGATTTTCAAACGCGAAGCCCTCACCTTTTCTCTTTACAATGTGTGTGTGTGAGCCTCCCCCTTCGATTATATTGGCTCTAACGGTCAGAAGGGTGTGTCAACCCTCAAAATCGAGCAAGGTGAGCCAGAGATAGAGAAAAAAACCCATTTTCACCCAAATCACCTCAGAGGTGGGGTGGTTTTGGCTAAACCTCTCTAAACAGGTCAAATGTCACTTGTTTTGCATCAATCTTGATACAGGGTACTTATTATATGTTGTACTTTGGATTCCTAAAGCTTTTAGTCTACTAACCCATCATCCAAGGGTAGTTTTCACTATCTGTAAAAAATAAATTTTGGACGGACACTATAATTTACAGTTTTTTACTATGTAAAATCTGAATTTTCTTTAAAATAAAAAACATCTATATTGATTCTGACACTTCTACATCCAACTCACAGATGTAACCTTGCTTTGATAAAAGAAATTATTCATATAACCCTTTTAGAAGTTAAGTTGTAGTCATTTCTTTTGGGCATGTCATTTTCGAGCCTGAAACATGAAAAACAGGCTAGGTGCTTAACAGGTTAAAAAAGTGCATTACATATTATATAAAACCCCAGGTCGTGGAACATTAACTGGGTATATGTACAACATATTCATTATTATTCACTAGGGGTGTAACGGTTCACAAACATTTCGGTTCGGTACGTACCTCGGTTTTTAGGTCACGGTTCGGTACGTTTTCGGTACAGCAGAAAAAATGATCACAAAACATGAAATATTTTTTGGGGTTTTTAATTATTATTAAACTGTGAATAATGTATTCACTCAAATAAATACAAAATATAATAAAATAAACATTAAGGTGCAGCATTTCGATGAACTGAAATAATCTGTATTTGAACGTTACTGTACTAGTACTCACAAAATATAAAATATTTGTTTTGGGTTTTTAATTATTATTAAACTGAATATTCACTCAAATAAGTACAAAATATAATAAAATAAACATTAAGGTGCAGATGAACTGAAATAATCTGTACTTGAACTGTACTGTACTAGTTTGACATTAGGACTTGCTTGCTTGTCATTGTATTTTCATGTTTTTTTTAAAGAAAAATTCATTTGTCCACATTGCTTGCCGAAAGGGCAGATCTGCTGGCACTAACAATGTCTCCTGCTGTGGAGAACACCCTCTTGCTAGGGACAGAGGTAGCGCTTTGCTAACATGGCACTGAACTTTTTGCGAGGCTTAACCTGTTACCTGGTACCGGGCGGATAAACGCGTCATTTGCAGGAAACAACGTCTAAGGAATCTTAATATTTAATAAACTATGAATGTTTTATATCCATGTAACGGGAAGAAACTCAGCTAACTGATCTTTTTAATTTTTGTTTTCAAAAAAAAAACCACAATGCTAACACTCAGCCTCTGAATTAGCCAGGAGCGAAAAATGCTAACCTATCACTGCACCTAAACTCACTCATAACTCCCTTATTACTTATCCTAGATGCACAGCCAACCCATCGATTAGCATCGCCTGGAGACACAGAATCTGGGGGTGCCCACCTCAACACTCAGTGATAAACATTTGCGACGCTATAAACGAAAGCGTACATCATAACATGTGGAGCTAAGTAGCTAGAACCCATAAGCAATAAAACTGCTTTTTTGTTTCCAAATGCCAGAGCTAGAATGTAGCTCCACTCTGCTTTACATTTACATGCGCACAGCCCCCACCTTTTCTCTTCACAATGTGTGTGTGTGTGAGCCTCCCCCTTCGATTCTATTGGCTCTAACGGTCAGAAAGAGGTGTCAACCATCAAAATCGAGCAAGGGGGGCCAGAGATATAGAAAAAAAACCATTTTCACCCAAATCACCTCAGAGGTGGGGTGGTTTTGGCTAAATCTCTCTAAAAAGGTCAAATTTCACTTGTTTTGCATCAATCTTGATACAGGGTACTTATTATATGTTGTACTTTGGATTCCTAAAGCTTTTAGTCTACTAACCCATCATCCAAGGGTAGTTTTCACTATCTGTAAAAAATAATTTTTGGATGGACACTATAATTTACAGTTTTTTACTTTGTAAAATCTGAATTTTCTTTAAAATAAAAAACATCTATATTGATTCTGACACTTCTACATCCAACTCACAGATGTAACCTTGCTTTGATAAAATAAATTATTCATATAACCCTTTTAGAAGTTAAGTTGTAGTCATTTGTTTTGGGCATGTCATTTTCGGGCCTGAAACATGAAAAAACAGGCTTGGTGCTTAACAGGTTAAAGAGTCAAAGTACAGGTTTGGCAAGACGGTGAGAAGGCCCCATTTACACGGGAACGCAAACAAACCAAATTCGATATAAAAAAAGTCTTCCGTTCACACGAGACCGCTCGAAAGCGCTGAAGACGCTATAGTACATATGCCAGGCCTGTAAGTGGCGCTGTACTTCCACCACAAAATACACCAAAAGCAGCGAAGAAGACCCCCCGAGCATGGTTGCCATGGTTGCCATTCTGTTTATGCTCCGTTGTGGATTTAGCAACATGTAGTTCATGTAGTTCTACATGTCCACTTGTTGCTGATGGTTGTGGTAGAGGAGCTGTAGATTTTGCACTAACATCTGTAGCATGGTCAGTAGCAGTAGCTACTGACAGTAGCTACTGACCATGCTACAGATGTTAGTGCAACATCTACAGCTCCTCTACCACAACCATCAGCAACAAGTGGACATGGAGAACTACATGAACTACATGTTGCTAAATCCACCGCGGAGAATAAACAGAAGGGCAACCATGCAGGGAGGTCTTCTTCGCTGCTTTTGGTGTATTTTGTGGCGCCACTTACAGGCCCGGCATATGTACTACAGCGTCTCCAGTGGTCTCGTGTGAACGGACACGTTAAATGAGCCGAATGCGTGTGAACGGAAGACTTTTTTGATAACGAGTACCATGCTACAGCAGTGAGCAGCAGAGGTGGGGAGAGGTGCGGCTATGGCTTCATCGTTATCAGGAAATTATCGTATAGGGCGTACACACGGAGCCGTTTGGCCCCCCAGAGCGTTCCGTCCGCAGATCTATCCACCTTTGGACCCGTTATCGTTTGAGGGGTCCGTTTCCGCGGTTCCGTTACGGCCTTGTGTGAACGAACGGGCTATACGAAAGAGAAAAGTAGCGGATACAACCCATTTCGTTCCCGTGTAAACAGCGCCTAAACGACTGTACTGTGAGAAACTCCAACACCAGTTCATAGCTAACGACTTTAATCCAAAGGCCTCCCCCTCCTTGAACAACCGACACCTTGCATACGAGTTGAACCAGTTGTCGCTTTTAAGAACAATAGCCGCTTTCACACCAAGTACTTAGCCGGTACTTGTCCCCGGTACTTGTTCCCCCCGAACTCTTTAGTCCCTGGAACTGTCCTAGTAGATCGCGTTCTCACCTGAATAAGTACCCGAGGGAGGATTAGACAAATGAAGCCGCATTTATCTGTGACGTTCTGTTTGTGTAAGAATGTGTGTGGACTCTAAAAATGTCCTTTTAAGGGTTGAAATAGTTCCTTAAAAAATGCTAAATGGGGCTGAAATGTTTTCATGTCATAATGAACTGTTGGAGTCATCTGAACAGGAAGTGGCTTTGTGCGTAACAGAGAAACATTTAATCACGGTTAACATGCATTAACTCTCCTTCCTCTTTCAGTGAGACGGTTTGCTGAAGTGTCTTTAACAGGAAACATGGTGAGGAACATTCAGACACGAGATGAAAGGACATAGAGACGTCATTCAGAGGGACATGGACATCATTAAAAAAGCTGTTTAGTTTAGAGAACGGGAAGAAGTACACAGATCCTGAGCTTAACTAAAAGACCACATCCTTTTGTTCTTAAATACTCTATTTGAATGCAAAGTCTTGTATTGAATTTGTTATTTAAGTAAAGAAGCATCAACAGCTTGTACTTTAAATATAAAAAGTACTCAGTATGCAGAATAACTATGATGTTATACTACAGTGTTTAATATAACGTACTGACATGTTAGCCCCCGTAGCACTACAGCCTGAGTACAAACATGTGTGTCCTTAGATACTCACTTGAAGGCAAAGTATTGTATTAAAAAAAATAGCAGCAACTTTAAATATAAAAAGTAGAAGCGCTCAGTATGTTACATTACAGCGTTTATTATAACATGGTAACATTTGAGCCCCGATAAGATCAGATCAGATGGAACTTTATTTCAGGCGTTTATAGTCAGAGTTAAAAACAGGATTCAAACAAGGTACAAAATAAAGATAAATTAGAATTGAAAAGAATAATAATAATACAAATAAAGTGATAAAGTAACTGTTGAAACAGATATCACAGTAAAAAGTGGAGCATTTTAATGAACATGTTAAATATATTTACATTTAAGTGAGCAGACGTGAGTTCAGGTTGAAGTTTAGACTGTATTGTGCAGCCTGATGGCTACGTGTGTGTGTGTGTGTGTGTGTGTGTGTGTGTGTGTGTGTGTGTGTGTGTGTGTGTGTGTGTGTGTGTGTGTGTGCGTGTGTGTGTGTGTGTGTGGTGTGTGTGTGTGTGTGTGTGTGTGTGTGTGTGTGTGTGGTGTGTGTGTGTGTGTGTGTGTGTGTTTGTGAGGGGGGGGGGTCGGTGGATCAGAGTGGCAGGTAACGCTCTCTGCGGCGATTAATGTCCTACCTACGCCTGGTTAATGTTGCGTGACATAAATAAATGTTTACTTTGAGTTCTCAGCTCTATTGCTTCTGCTACAACTTAATTTGTTTTGCAGTACTCGCCATGAACTGTTACTGCTCAGGCAAATCTCACACCAGCCTCCGACATAAATCTCTTTCGATGCAGTTCTCGGTTCCATCGCAGCAAATTGGTGGTTCCAAATGCAACCAGTAAATTGGGGCAGAGAAGGCCGGAAGAACTGGTTGGCAATTGGGCATCGTCTCCGAAACTGCCCTGAACCTCTTCGATGGAAAAGGGGAGGAAAGTCTCACATGCTTCACAGCTAGTAGACACAACAAGTAAATATTCACCCAAGCGGAAGCCCTTATGAGAAACGAGCCATTTCAGTCTTACCACGTCCAGTTCTGGGACCAGCCTCCATCACCTTCACCAAGCTCTTCGATTTTGGTCAACTTGGTAAACAGGAAGTCATCGTCCACCCACAGGAAGTACTTGGTGGTGACCTGGGAGACCGCCAGGTTCCTGCCAGCAACCAGCCCTGATGGAGGAAAGCATTATTCATGTTTTATTGGTAATTTTAGATGTTACGCCTCTTTGAGTTGCATTAGGCTTGTTCTCACATTACAGTGTGTACACGTTTTGTTGGGGTGTGTGTGTGTGTGTAACGTGTGCGTGTGACGTGTGCGTGTGATGTGTGCGTGTGACGTGTGCGTGTGACGTGTGCGTGTGACGTGTGCGTGTGACGTGTGCGTGTGACGTGTGCTAGTGCGTGTGCGTGTGTGTGTTGTGTGTGCGTGTGTGTGTGTGTGTGTGTGTATACCTTAGCTGGAAGGCATGATAAATGGCTGGATGTGGAGGTCCTGTAATTTTCTCTGGTTCCATGCTGTCATCTGCAATGATGATTTCAATGTCTTTGTAGAATTCTCTGATGGTTTTCAACAACACATTGAGTTCTGGGTAGCGCAGGAACGTCTTTGTGATGATGGTGACTTGAGAGTTGATATCTGACATATAGAGAAGAAGAGTTATTTCAAGAAAAGACACATGAAGACATCATGAGATCCACTGTCCAATGATCAAGAGCATCATTTGACAAAGAAGAGAAGCAGCTCCTTCCTGCCATAAATAAATGAGTGTGTTATCCCCACGGTGAGTGAACTCCCACCTTTTCCCATGTCGTACAGGACTGGAGGTTGAGGCTGTTTGATGGTAATGGGAAACACAGCTTCATGGTCCTCAAACTGGAAGGTTGCTGAGAACAGAAGCACAAACACATTTCTCTAGATTAAATACACACAGACACAAACCTGTACAAAGCATTGACAACTTTATGATTTTGCAATTCTTTTTGATTACATTTGCTCTAATAGGTCTTCTGTAATTTTGTGAATTTAATTCATGACATTTGTTCTAAATAAAGACAGACTTTTTCTAGTTTAGTTTTAATGTCTTAGATGCATACCGAGGTCTCCGGTGTGTATGTGGTAAATAGTGCTGTTATAGGACACATCAGCCAGCAGCTCATTGAGGGCCTCCAGGCTGCTGGACTCCACCATCAGTCGGCTCTCACCATTACCTGTCACTGTTTCCACAACAGAAAAGAAAGATCATTTTAAATGGCTATGCCTTACACTACGGCTACTTTAGATGGCTCTAAAAAGACAACAGCAAAGCAAATCAGTGTAATGGAAATCCACATGTGCAATGGAGATAATATCTAAGCCAAACGCAAATATTTGAAAGACTACAGCATGATTTGATTAATAGATGACAGTAGTCCTTAGGTCAATCGTTTGTAGTAATCACTAGTATGTTTGCGCTGGTATGACTTGCTCACTGTTAGACAATGCACAGAGTTTAGCGATGATGCATTTGATCCTACTTTTAATCTGGCCCTAAAATTAAGTACATACCTTACATATCCACTATTGTCAGATATTGTTTGCTCCTTTGTTTGTCAGGTTCAGTTAGATCTTACCTTTTACCTGCACTCCTTTAGCTGGAATAGTTGTTCTCAGGACTCCTTCCGACACTTCCAAGGAGACCTAGAGTCGACACATCTCAGTAAATCTTCAATCTATTTATTTTAACCAAACTAAATAACGTTATTTATGCTGGGCATCTTATCTATATATGAGGCAGTCCAGGAAAAGAAGTCAAGATGGAGAACAAGGTGGAACGAATAGAAAATAGAGAATGCAATTCCTGAAGAAATTGCTAGTGGGAATGCTTTATGCTGAAAAGCTGATGCTGAATGTTATGCTTAAAATGTAATGTGTAAGAAGAAAAAGAAAGTGAAGAATTTAGATTGAAATGATACATGAACACTGGGGGCTTGAATGTGTGATGAGAGAAGAAAAGAAAGTAAAAAGGCTTGGAAAAGCAGCAGAATATTTGAACTGCAAACCTTTTAACTAACTTGATGGCGAATGATCTGTCGCCATGGCAACGGTATTTGATGACACCCCGTAATACACTTAGATGTGTTGATTGCTGCATCGTTACCAAACCTGTGAAGTTTTGAGCCGTTTGGAGCATTTTCATAGGAGTTATAGCAATACGTGTTTTACGGCGAGGGATGCGTTGCTATGGCAACAGCTTTTGAGGAAACTCACTAATGACACATAGACATGTTGAGGGGCTGGACCATTAACCATCATCTGAAGTCTGGTGGTGTTTGACCATTTTCATAGGGTTACGACAACATCGTGTTTTATGGCGAGGGATTTCCGTGGAAACGGCATTTTGGTGATCTCAGAATACGCGTAGAGCTGTTGAGGCATGGAGAGGTGATACAAGTGAAGATTGGGGGACAATTGGACCGTGTCCATTGGAGTTACAGCAACATCGTGTTTTATGGCGAGGGATGCGTTGCCATAGTAACACCACATTACGTAACATCAGATTTGACGTAGAGCTGTTCAGTGTTAACCATCATGTGATGTTTGGTGGCGTTCTGAGCATGTCAGTTGGAGATATGACATCATCATGTCATATCTCCAACACACAGGTGTTTATGTTTGAGCTAACCACGTTATGAAACACCTGTGCTTGAGCCGAGATCAAAGGTTTTCCATGGTGATGTGCAGTAATCAGCAGAGGAGAGCCTTTCCATTGTTCTGAATGAAGATAAACCTCTTACATGTGAACGTTTGTTGAAGAACCGTAACAGTATCGGTGAAATGTCAACGCGTGAAGCATGTCAAGGACCCTGAGCATCTGAAGTGTACTTTTTGTGTACTTTCGGTCATAATTTGGCCTTTTTGGCAGATTAACTAAAGGTGTGCAGCTGCTGCTGTGAGGAAAGATCAGCTGAATTTAGATGGGCCTTAAGGGAGACATGTTGAACGTTTTTGTCACTTCATGCCCTCAAGAGGCATTTTGCTTAATTATTTTTGCCTAATCTTTTTATTTTCCAACCTAAGAGAGGTCTTTCATGAAAATGATGTCTCAGGAGTGTAGGGTTTGGGAATTATGGCAGGTTTAAAAAAATATATGAAGGCGAATTTCAAGCTGTCCTGAGATTTCTTACACTCTAGCTGTGACATCACGCACTCTAGTTAATGTTAAAATCTGAAGAAAGCCTCTTTACCAAGGTCTGAACCATGTTTAATATTTCTAAAGTATGGATCTGATTTAAAAGTTGTATTACACGAATAATGTCAGAAAGATGTGTAACATTTTAAAGTTGGAATGAGGTTTCTGAGTGAAAGTATGAATGAACAGTTAGCAGTTAAAGTCGCATGAAGATTTTTCAAGTCTGAAGAGTTTCTCCATTGACTTCAATGTTAAAATGTGATGAATTATGGGATGTATCTCTGGAATTATGAAAGTTATGAATGAGAAAAGTAATATCGATCGATTCCCGACCGAGCTGAACTTTTTGATGTTTGAACGGAGTTTCTGCGATGTTGAATGTGGGAGCAGAAGAGGCGCAAAATAACCCGGCGGAATCAAATAATAAAGAATTTGTGCGTAGAAGAACAAGTAGTTGGAATGCTGTATCAGCATTCTCACTAAAATAGATATATACTTTTGCGTTCTCATCACACACTTCTTTTTTTAGCATTCCTTCACACAGATTTCGGTAGAAAACGAGGTCATATACTTAAAGGTCAGTTAGGCTCCATTGAAACAACATGGAGAGCACTGACCCAACACAGAGCTTCATAGTTAGTTACAGAAAACCACCTTTGTGTGCACTACCATTGATTTGGATGCCATTTGAGAGAAGATTGGCATGGACCTCATCTGGTTATTAGACCGGAGTGCACATGCTTTGTATTATTCCTCGTAGGTAATGCAATGTATATCCCAGGGCGGTGCCGCTGCGTATTATCCCTGCCAAGAGTCTTGTGCAGGTACTGTTTCATACTATTTATGGATCCAAAAAGATATGTTGACCACCAACCAAGATCCTTTATTTCACGCACAATACGCAACTGTTTACATTACTGGGCTTCACTCAATCTGGACTAGTGGTTACCATCCACAGACAGATGGGCTGTTGCCACAGTTTATTAAACACTAAGGAACTTGTTTGGTCAGTTTGATCACAAAGAGATTTCGAACAATACGGGAGGTTTCCCCATGATCCATGGGGTTTTCCCCATTTGAACTGTTGTTCAGGGTATCCTGAACCTTGTTAAGGACAACTAGGAAGAGGGTCTAAGTTTCGACCTAGCAACCTCTATTCTCTTTGGGCAGTTATAATGGGAGAATTTGCTTTAATTCATTAAGAGTTGGTACGATCTGATAGGGTTGGTGGAATTGAGAATACCCACCTAATGCCCTGGAAGCAAGGAGGAAGGTTGCATCTGCCTCTCTTGCCAAGGCGATGAACAAGAGAAATGAGTTGGGACCGGTGTTAAAAAGCAAACAAATCAGTCCTGTCTCTTTTGTAATGACCATCTCTCCTGGACCAGGAAGCAGACATTGCGTCGTTCGGCCGTACAACTGCCTATGTTATCCATCAATGACTGATTTCGCCCTTTCGTTCTGGTACGCACGTCCAAGAGGTCAATCCAGGTCTGTATGGACTATCTCAGGGTTAGTGAGGCATCGTTAGGTTTATTCAAAGCTTACCACAAATCAGTTTGTCAAACTCCTGGATGGGAACGACTCCCCCTGTCTCCACTGTCTAACGAAACCGGGCTTATCTGGCCCTCTGTGGGAAGCCACTTTAGTTTTGTAGACCAATGCCCTAAACAGTTGGGTTGTGGGGTTGTTTTGTCCCAGGAGGTAAAGGGGGAGACACCCGGTAATGTACATTAGCCGGAATCTGGCTCACCAAGAGATGAACTAGAGAACAGTGGACAAAAAAAAGTGCAATATGGTAGCTGACCCACTGCGAAATACCTGATGGACGCCCATTCAGCTTCTAGTTTGACAACGCTTCACTCCAGTGGCTCCACCACATAAAGAGGCCAATGCCGGATCACTTATTTGTATCTAGCTTTACAGCCACGTTGACTTAAAGGCTTAATAGGGCAAGCAAGAACCCTCACAAACAAAACAATTATAGGTAAAAATCATACTTTGACTTTAGGTTTAGACGGTAAGTTGAAACCCAATCAAATTGTATTCACACTTGGCAAGAAATATTGGTTTTCAAAACCCCTTGCACCATTTAGCAGTTTCAGGAGCTGTACCAGATATTTGCAGTAAGGTTTCTGCCCCTCTCCTAAAGGTTTACACCAAGATGGCTGCTGTTGCAACTCATTATGAGAATATAATTGCAAGTAATTTGAATGCGACTAATAGACAGACACCCTTGCCTTCACAAACATACAGTATTGTTATTTGTATGTTTTTTTTCTAATGTGTCATTTACATGAAGTATTGAATAATGTAATACTTTCAATGTGTTTTACATGTTTTATACATATTATACACATTATATAAACACCCAGCAGCCATCTTGTATGAACCGGCCAAACACTAGCCCAGGTTTCTCTAAAAGCTGTGGATCAGCTGGAATCTGTGGGATCACACAACCACCGTGTAGTTGCTTCTTTGTTCTGCATGCACTGCTAGACCTGAAATCAAAATGAAGTGTGCTTTCATACTCTCCATTTACACAAGTACACTCATTCACCTCCAAAACATCCCCATCCAGCTTCTTGTCTAACTAGTTCCTGAGTCAAACACCATCATTTTACTGTATTTTAAACACAGCCTTCTGTTGTGTCACAATGAGAGTAATGAAAGGACATACTGTACGGTGTAGCATACCTGGGATGAAGGTGGGGGTCATAGGTCTACTTTGAAACCCTGGATAGGGTACTGCAGGGGAGAGTTAGACGGAGCATACAGCCGTGTGGATAACACAGACTCAGTCCTGTTGGGGAGATAGGATGGTTAGTAGTGAGGATGAGGTAAAGTCAAAGTCAAAGTCAGCTTTATTGTCAATAATTCTACATGTTGTACATCCAGAAATATCGAAATATCGTTTCCCGCAGTCCTACAGTGTGACATATATACATCAAACAAAAAACAAAAAGGGCCTAGATAAACATGGTATACATTAAACAAAACAAAGGGCCTAGATAACCGGGGTATACAGTTTAAAATGTTAATAATATAATTTAAGTGTTCAAAGTACAGTTTCAGTGCAGTAGCAGCGGAGATGGGCAGAAAAGTGAGTTAGGGGGTTAGAGTCCAGGACCATTTGGGGCAGGGGAGAAAGGTCGGAGGCAGGGTGGAGAGTTCAGGGGAGAGATGTCAGAGGGCGGAAGAGAGGGAGGGAGGGGAGAGAGTTCAGCATCCTGACCGCCTGGTGGAGGAAGCTGTTGCCCAGCCTGGAGGTGCGCGAGCTGAGGCTGAGGAACCTTCTTCCTGAAGGCAGGAGGCTGAAGAGGCTGTTGGAGGGGTGGGTGGAGTCACCCACAATGCTGAGTGCTTTGCGGGTGAGGCGGGTGTTGTATATGTCCTGTAGTGAGGGGAGTGAGGCACCGATGATCCTCTGGGCAGAGTTCACTATGCGCTGCAGGCTCTTGCGGTCGGCGGCGGTGCAGCTTCCGAACCACAGCGTGATACAGCTGCTGAGGATGCTCTCGGTGGCGCCTCGGTAGAAGGACAGCATGATGGGGGGTGATGCTCCGGCTCGCTTGAGCTTCCGGATGAAGTACAGGCGCTGCTGGGCTTTCCTCTCGCTAGTGCGGTGGTGTTGTTTTTCCAGGTGAGGTCATCAGTGATGGTCACACCAAGGAATTTGGTGCTGGTCACCTGCGTCACAGCAGCGCGTTGATGGTCAGGGGGAGTGGGGTCGACGGTGGGTTCTCCTGAAGTCAACAACTATCTCCTTTGTTTTCTCCAGGTTGAGGAAGAGGTTGTTGTTTTGGCACCACAGGGCCAGCTGGTTCACTTCCTTCCTGTAGTTAGTCTCATCGTTGTTGCTGATGAGACCCACCACAGTATTGTCGTCTGCAAACTTCACGATGTGGTTGGTGCTGAAGGTGGGTTTGCAGTCGTGGGTCAGCAGAGTGAAGAGAAGGGGGCTGAGCACACATCCTTGGGGGGCCCCCGTGCTCAGTATGAGGGTGTCTGAGGTGTTATTGTTGACCCGTACAGCTTGTGGTCTCTCTGTGAGGAAGTCCAGCAACCAGTTGCAGAGAGAGGGGCTGGGCCCAGGTCTGTAAGTTTTTGTACAAGCTGCTGGGGGATGATGGTGTTGAATGCTGAGCTGAAGTCTATGAATAGCATTCTGACATAAGGGTCCTTAGCCTTAGCCTTAGTGTTAGTGTCCAAGTGTGTGAGGGCTGGGTGGAGAGCGGAGGAGATTGCATCCTCTGTGGACCCTTTAGCTCGGTAGGCAAACTGAAACGGGTCCAGCGATGGGGGGAGGGTGATTT